CAAGTCCAGATTTCCAGATTCTTCGGAAAATGTGGAACAGCTGCTCACGTTGGGCCTGCACTCGTACACAGAAGCAGTTTCTGGAATGAGGAGAGGCTGCCTCCTCACGTGGGTGTGTGCTCCAATGCAGCATGGCCTCCACCAGCCCTTGGGCTGGCTGGGACTAGGGGACCCTGTCCCAGCTGATATCCCGGCATCCATTTGTTTGTATTTTCATTCTTTCCACAAAAGTGCAAGTCTGGGCTCTGAGGCTACAGAGGTAAGAAAGTCCCTGAGTCTAGTGACATCACCATGTAGAGGATAGGTATTCAAACATATGTCAGTATCCTCCTCTTGGGTGGGCAACAGCTTAGCTGCACGGAACAGGCCATCTGAAGTAGGTTTCCCATCCCCAGCACTGTCGATATTGGGGGCCAGACAATAACCCAGTAGGTGTCAGGAGCACCCCCTCAGTTGTAACAACTGTTTCCAGACATTGCCAAATGTCCCTGGGGAGGGGGTAGGTAAGAAATCACCCCAGTTGAGCATCACTGATCTAAAGTTCATGGGGGCTAGTGGAGAAAATACCATTTGAAATTTCAGCCAGATCTTAAGGAACTTGCTTATCTCCTAATGAGAGAGGTGGATCAGCTCTTGAAACAGTTCCTCAGGGGTCTCTCCCCTCCCTCAGTGTCTGTGTCCTGCTCTGTAGGCGCTTGCTGTGCTGAGTGATGGGTAGGTGTGCAGGCTCCGTCTCGTCCACCAGGCTGTGAGCAGCTCTAGGAGAGAACGTGTTTCATTCCCCTTTGTGTCTCTTGGCTTAGCACTGCGTACTTGCTGAATCAACAGGGAGCGGCCAGCCCTCAAAATGCTGTATTGTGCCGGGCACGGTGGCTCACACCTGCAATCCCAGCACTTTGGAAGGCCAAGGCAGGAGGATCGTTTGAGGCCAGGAGTTCAAGACCAGCCTGAGCACGAGCAAGAGCCCATCTCTATAAAAAAATACAAAACTTAGCCGGGCGTGGTGGCTTGCGCCAGTAGTCCCAGCTACTTGGGAGGCTGAGACAGGAGGATCACTTGAGCCCAGGAGTTTGAGGTTGTAGTGAGCTATGATGATGCCACTTCACTCTAGCCAGGGCAAAAGAGAGAAACCCCGTCTCAAAAAAACAATATGAAACAAAAAAATGATTATAAATTTCACTACCCAATGCTGGTCAATTTTTAAAGTCTTTAATTAAAGGCAACTACTCTTGTCCAGCCAATTATTATAAAAACAATCCATTTTAAGCCCAGTAATTTAAATATCCAGATTCATATTTAATTACTCATTTTTTGATTAACAGTTTTGTGATATATATTGATACTAATTCTCTCTATTTCAAAATTTCAGCAAAGGAGATTCAACACATACCAGAGAGATTCTGAACTGAGAGCAATATCCCTGTTAAGTAGAATTAGCTGTGGTACCTCCTCTGTGAATCCCCTTTTAGAGACAAGGAGAGTCACCTTCTCTTTGGAATAGTTCAGGTATGAGGACAGAAAGGAAGAGCCAAAATGCAACTTCCTTATTCTAAGGATTTCATGATCAACTTCTCCCTTTTGCCCATCATTCACCGAGCCTCCCGTTGACACGGTTTGTCAACCACGTTGATCCTAGCATAGACCTCACCAACACCAAGGGCCTTTAGAAAATGATCCTATATAACCTTTGAGTAAAGATGTCTTATCCCTTTAATTTTAGGGGACTTCATGGAGACTGCCCTCATCTATGTATAGGAAGAATGAATTTAGGGATGGAAAAAGAACTTCCCCCAGCACACTCCAAAATGCCTTTAGGTTTAGGATCACAGTGTCTGAAATTGATCAGTTTTCTGTTTGAATTAAAAAATGTGAATCCTCCTCTTTATATTGCTATCTAAGAAGAGCCTTCTCATAACTATTGCTTATTACCTCTCAAATTTTATCACAATTTATCAGATTATGAACTGTCCCTCAGCAAGGCCCTGAGGAACACTGGGCAGATATGCTTTGGTGAGGAAAAGAGAAAAAAGAAAAAATAGTTTGGAATATATAGGTGGGAGAAGGGCGAGCAAATGTAACAGTTCAGTCATTCATTGGATAAATATTTATTAGGTGCTGCATTAGGTGCGGGGCCCCCAGCCAGGAAAGGGATGCAGTCTCTGCCCTTTGTCCAACGGGCTCAACTGGAATTAATTGAATAACCACCATAAGACATGTGACATTGAGATGGGGCCTTTGGTCCGCCACAGGAGAAAAGAGAAGAGGTCGAGAGACACTGAAAATAAACCTGTGGAAGACAAGCTAGTGACAGAAACTTCTGGCCGTGTGTGCTCTGCAGTCTGATGTTTATGCCTTAGTTACATGAAGTTTGTTCATTTCAGGAATGACGGGGATTACAAGATTTGCAAACAGTTCAGTCAAGCTCTGACTTAAATAGTTGTAATGCTATTAAGATTCCTGCAGCCCGTGCCAGCGTTTCTGGCTGTTTAGAAAACAACATCAAAGCTCACCTCCCTGGCTCTCTTAACAGTAAACTGAACCAAGGTTTGTTTTCATTTCAGCATTTACTAAGCTGCTTTGGTGTTTCATAAAATAGCTCTGCCAAGGGATGAAATGCAAGGTTATTACACTCCAGCATTGTTCCGAGGCTGTGGGAGTAAAGTGGCAAGGGGCCAGCCGCCCCCGTCCTCTCCCTGGTGATTAAGGAGGATTAGTGGAAACTGTGTAAAATGACTGAGCCCCGGTTACATCTGCAGAAATAAAACCCTCCAAACCCAAAGCTCCATGCAGCCCTTGCATCCAGGCATGGCGACTCTGCACTTGCCCAGGGACGTGACAAGATGGCGTATGCGTTCTCAAAGGGACATGAGGGAAGGAGGGGTCTGCTTGAAAGGAAAAGCCAGGTCTTTAGAAGTGAGCCCGTGTGCGAAAGGAACAGCCTCCCCGTCACAGGCATGTCTTTTCCAAAGAGAAGAGGCCATAGAACCCTTCGGCTCCTGGGTCCTGCGCCAGACTCCAACTTCACGAAGAGGATGTTTCTAAATTCAGTCTTTTGGAACAGTTTCTCACAGAAGCAATGCTATCCGTGATGATTATAGATTTAGGAAAGTCCTTAGACATGTGTTTAGTTCATAGCCTAGACATTAATTGCAGCTACATTGTTGTGAGTTAAATAGAATTGATCGATCTAGCATCACTGTATGTTCTGTAGGAAAGAGGAACATACATTCTAATATGGAGCTTCAGGCACGAGGCATCCATGTCCCTGGTCCCCGTCTCCTCTCCCAGCTGCTAGCGGGTGGGGGACAGCCTCCTAACCCTCGGCCCCGCCTTCCCCATGACTGGCTCCTTGACAAGTGTCTCCTGCTGCCCTCGTGCAGAGAGGGGAGATCTTGGTGGTCAGGGAGATTTTCCCAGCTCTAGAGTGTTGAAGATTTGTTCTGTCTTGCTCTGGAAAGCAGAACTTGGCCTCACAGGTGAGGTTCTAAGAAGCCGCTGTAGGGTCAGTGTGAGGACTGGCTAGTGGGTCAGTGAGGGGAGGATTCATGTCTCAGTCCGTCCCCGGCCAAATCCAGTGGCTTCCACTGGTGACACGCCTGTGGAGACTCACGGGAGTCCAGTGGCTGCGACCATCATCAGTGGGGTGGGCTTGCTTTGCACAATGGCCGTGTGCCTCACTTGACGTCTTCAGGCAGAGGTTGGGTAGCCAGCCCCGAAGACCACTGAGGAGGGGTTGCTGCTCTGGGAGTGCATTCTGCTAACAAACAATCGTATTTTATTGCCTGTCCATTGTTGGCCAAGTGCAGGGGTGAGCTGCTTCTGGTCTATTATCTCTAAGCTTCACAGTGACTGTCAGATGTGATCAGCTCCCATGGGACAGATGGGAAACAAAGGCTGGACAACATACAGGGTTACCTAGCTCATAAATGCCTGAGCCAAAACTCCAACTCAGGTCTGCCTGCTTCTAAAGTTTAATGTTTTTATATTCTCACGCACAGTCAACTCATTCCTGTCCTAAAAGTGGAAAATGTACAAGTTACCTGTATCTCAGGGTCACCCACATAGAGAACATTTTTTACTGGGAATGGAATGTGAACAGCATATGTGTGTTTCAATATTCAGCCCCCCAAGCATGCTAGAAATACGAAGGCACTGTGGCCAGAATGTGCTATGAGTGGGCACAGAGAAGGCCTGGGGTGGTGCGGGGGTGGGTGGGGGAGGACAGGAAGGAAAGGGTCGATTGAAAGGGCTGTCGGCACCTCTGAAAAGGGGCATTTCCCCATCAGGGACCCAACACCATGATCCCTTCGAGACGGCCCAGCCCCAGCTCTAGAAGAAGAACGACAAGATTCAGATAGACACCAGCCCCAGACTGTCTACTGAGAGGTTTAAAATAGCAAATGGAGAGACCTTTGATGTCTTAAATTTTAGGCATGTTAAAATATTCAGCTCTTCTTTTCTCACTGTCTCCAGTTCTCCCACTACTTTTTCATTTTCAAATCACTGACCATATTTCTTTCTGGGCTAGTGGGAAATTCAGAATTCCTCATTTGTATTTTCACCTTTAAATGTTCTATCAGTTTAAATGAAATGAAAAGATTCTGAGATTGTCGCCTTAGTAATTTTTAAGATTATGGATACCTGCATGATTTCATATCCATCAACCCTCCTTGGCGAAAGCATCAGGCGGCTCTGCAGGAAGCCTTTCTCCTGCGTCTCTGCCAGAGAACATTAACCCAAGCGTGTCACCCCCACCCGGTCAGGGCGAGCAGGACACGTCAACTTCTTCCCTGAGGGAGGGATCAAGCCCACCTCCCAGCCCTCTCACCTCCCCATGTACCTGAGGTTTGCCCCAAGTGACAGGGGCAGTTCCTGGGCTGGCGAGAGAGGCACAGTCCCAGAACAAGGCACGGCATCCCCTTGCGCTGTTGTATGAGGGTGCCAGGCAGCTCAGCTGGCCCCGAGGGAGTGGAAAGCTGACCCTCTGCTGTTGTTTGCAGCCTCCTGCTTGGCGGACTTGGAGAGGCCTTGCTGGTTTTCTCAGAGCAGAGGGGCTTCTGAAGAAGACAGTCCAGAAAAGGAGACCCATAGGTTGCCACTGGGGATCGCAGCCCCGGCCCCACAGCTCCCTGTTGAGTGTCGCAGAAAGAGGAATGCAAGGACAGTGAAGCCAGGTGGGCAGCGCGATAGACCCGTTCCTGCCTCGACCCAGTCTAATGTGCTGATGAGGATGCAAAGGCCACACTGCCTCAGGACGCTGCAAGGAGAGCTCTTCCTGGGGGTCTCGGGCTGCTGCGGAGGAGTAGTCTGTGTTATGTCCTCCCGTTTTGAGACCCCCTCTCGATCATTTTTCTGGGATGGCTCCGCTCACCTTGACTGACCTGCAGGCCTCTGGATACCAGGCGCCTTCCACCAAACACAGCTGACACCCTGAGGTAGTGGGCTCGAGGTGTTTTTTTCATTTTTGAAAAAATTTATTTTATTATTATTATTTTCTTGAGACAGCATCTTAACTCTGTTGCCCGTGCTGGAGTGTGGTAGCATGATCACAGCTCACTGCATTCTCAAATTCCCAAGTAGCTGGGACTACAGGTGTGTGCCACCATGTCTTGCCTAATTTTTTTATTTTTTGTAGAGATGGGGTCTCACCATGTTGCCCAGGCTGGTCTCAAACTCCTGGGCTCAAGCGATCCTCCTGCCTCGGCCTCCCAAAGGGCTGAAGTTACAAGTGTGAGCCACTGTGCCCAGCCTCATTTTTTATTTTTAAATTGACAGATAAAATGGTATGTATTTATCATGTACAGCATGATGTTTTGAAGTACATATACATTATGGAATGGTTATATCTAGCTAATTAATGCATTACCTCACACAGTTATTTTTGTGGTGAGGTTTTATATTTTTTGTTTTGTTTTGTGTTTTTATATCTTTGGAGTCTCCTCAGGGGACATCCTTTTCGTGCTGTCCTGCTGACTTGCCGAGAACCCACCCCCACCTGGGTACCAGCACACAAAAAATTGCTTGTGAGGGTGTCCATTTGGGGCAAGGACAGAGAGGGAGGCTGAGTGAGAATTCTGAAGTGTTTCCTGCTTCTAAACTTCTCTGGGTTCTTGTAAACTTGGCGGGATATGGATGGCGTTGAATTCTGCACACTTTTCATCCAACATTAGTTTAAGCTGGTACTAAATGACCACCAGCGGGAATAGGGTTTGTAAGCACTGACGGATGTCCTCCCTGGGCTAGTGAGAAAAACAAACAGTATATAACATACACACACACTCTTTTATATTTATATTCCTTAAGACTTTTAATCCATTTAATTCCTCGATATCTTAGAGGAGGTTTCAAATCATTGAACACTGAAGTGTATTTTTCAAACCAGATTAAAAATTGAATGAAAACCCTATGCTGGCTGGGCACAATGGCTCATGCCTGTAATCCTAGCACTTTGGGAGGCTGGGTGGAAGGATTGTTTGAGGCCAGGAGTTTGAGACCAGCCTGAGCAACATAGCGAGACCCTATCTCCACAAAAAGTAGAAAAATTAGCCAGGCATGATGGCGCTCGCCTGTAGTCCCAGCTACTTGGGAGGGTGAGGCAGGAGGATCACTTGAGCCCAGGAGTTTGAGGTTGCAGTGGACTATGATGATGCCATTGCACTCTACCCTGGGCAATAGAGTAAAACCCTGTCTCAAACAAACAAACAACAAAAAACCCAAAACAGGCTGGGTGTGGTGGCTCACACCTGTAATTCTGGCACTCTGGGAGGCCAAAGTGGGAGGATCACTTGAGGTCAGGAGTTCTAGACCAGCCTCAGCTAGAGTGAGACCCTGCCTCTACTAAAATAGAAAGAAATTAGTTGAGCAACTAAAAATAGAAAAAATTGGCTGGGTGTGGTGGTGCACACCTGTAGTCCCAGCTGCTCGGGAGGCTGAGGCAGTAGGATTGCTTGAGCGGGAGTTTGAGGTTGCTGTGAGCTAGGCTGACGCCACGGCACTCTAGCCCGGGCAACAGAGTGAGACTCTGTCTCAAAAACAAAACAAAACAAAACAAAACAAAATAAAAAACTATACCTTGCCTCTACAGGAGTCAAAGGAAGTGAATTTACACAAAATGGTCATTTGATTTTGAACCCACCAAGAAAGTTTAAGAAAATAATTACTTTAAATATTTCTGCTTATAATGACTTTTTCAAATATCTTACTACTCTGCCAGGTGTCAGAGAGTTTTGGTCATTTCGAGGTGACCAGTGAGTTCCCCCGGCAGAAGCTGGGCCCTGTAGTTTTGAGTACCCACGTCACTGGTGGCGACCCCCCTTCAGCCTCCAGGAAATAGGCCTTGTCTGCTCTCAGCCCTGTGAAGAATCACGTCACCTCAGTCAGTGGCCGTTGTTTCTGCACATTTTCCCCAACTTGTTGAGAAAAGAAAAAGAAAATGAAACAAATAGGAATGGATTCGTATATTTGGAACTCGAGTACCTTGAATTCATTTTCTTGTCTTTTCCTGGTCTCTGCTTGTCGTTTAAGGTAAAAATGCTTAGAGCGACCTTGACACATACATGGTTTTCAACTTGCTTTTGTTCCTCATCTAGGATGTCAAACTTTCTGTAGGCTGAGGATCAAGTAGAATATTCTTTTCTCCCACAAAACTCTATACAACTGAGACCAGTGCTTTTCTACTTGCAGAAAGTGACATCTGTCCAAATGTCATCTTATGCCTGCCTTTCCAAGTGCCATTTAAGCAAACGGAGGTTCCTAAGGCTGGAAAGAACCATGCAGTTATCAAGCCCCGTCTGTCCTGTTTCTAGCAGGACTGACCTCAAAAACTTTTGCTGAAAAGTTTTAGGCCCTTTTAAAAAAGGATCTCTAGCGAGGGTGTTTTTATTTTTGTTGGTCTTTAGATTTGCATTCCAAAGTCCCATTGTTTTTAAAATCTCAAGTCTTTTCCTGTTTTGACACCAGCAAGAGGCACAGGATAAGGTGTTTCTTCAATATGCCATCCTGTTTCCTTCTGTTCTTGGGCTTTTTTTCTTTCAGCTTTAACTACCATCTTGATGTCCAAGTTCGCGTGCTCGGCTCTGAATGCAAGTGAGCCCAGAGGTCTGAATGACAGGGCGGCCCCCATCTCTGTGGTCCCCCCAGCTCTTGTTTTCTGGACAGGGAATCTCCAAGTAACCCCACAGTCCTTTTAGCCTGTGTCCTTGCTGGCCCCTAGTCAGAGCCAGGGTGTTTGGGGTTATTTATTTGTACAAATGAAGAATATGCTTTCTGTCAAGAGAGGCAGTGTTCTGTATGATTGTGTATTATTATTAATCTGCTATGGATATAAAGAAAAATAAACCATTTGTTTCTTGGTCACATTTGCCTTTCTTTCTGTTCCTTTCAACCCCAGCAGGGGAATATTGCAGCAAAGGCTGTTGTTATCCCAGGGGAGGGAGTTCTTGTATCTTAACCCCAGGCCAGACTCCATCTACCCACCCCAGGCCACTGAGCTTGAAACAGGGAAGGGCCCACCCAATGCCTTCCAGAGGGGGGCCATCCAGTGCGGGCCCCACTGGCCCCCTGTGCCTATGGAGCACTCCCGTGGGGTCGGCCTAAATTCGCATGTGCCATAAATGCAAGTACACACCAATTTTTAACACTAATAGTTTTAATGTAAAATACCTCATAATAATTTCTCTATTGATTGCATGTTGAAATGGTAATATTTTTGATATATTGGGTTAAATAAAATATACTATCGAAATTAATTTCTCCTGTTTCTTTTTACCTTTTTTAATGTGGCTCCTAGAAAATTTTAATTTATACATGTGGCTCCTACTATATCTCTGTCGGTCAGTGCTGATCTAGAGCAGTTCATCTACACTGGCCCAGAGAAGCAGCAGAGGAGATGGGTGTTGGCAGCAGCCACTGGGCTTACCAACCCGATAGTAGTATTTAAGACTACCAGGTATTAATGCTGAGTGCATGCCAAGCACTGCGCTAGGTATGCTCCATGCTCCATGTCTTTGATTCTTCCCAATGGTAGTACAGGGGACATTCTCCCATTTGACTGAGGAGATCAGAGAGATTGAGTAACTTTTCCGGGGCCTCCCAGCTGGGACTTGGACCCAGGTCTTTCAGAGCTCATTCTCCCAATCTTTGGAGAATTCTGTTGAGAAGGAGAAATGAGGCCCCCATGTTTTACAGGGGGTTGTCAGTTCTCTAAGAAGTGCTGAGATATGGGTTCCTCGCATCCCTGAGATCATTTGTGACTCTTCCTGCAGACCATAGTCCCTCCCTTTGCCGAAGGGCAGGGTCTGGGGCCTGCTTCCCAGAGCATCCCAGTTCCTGCCACCAGACTCCTCCCTGGGCTTGTCTGAGATCTGCCATGCACAGGGTCGGAGCAGCAGGAGCACTTTGGGAATGGTACTGCTCTCACCTGAACTGTCCCCCTAAATGTTACCAGCACAACCAGCCACTGTTTGTTGATTCTCAAGCTCGGTTTCTCAGGGATTGGCATGTTCGTGTAGCTGAGGGGTTTGAACGTTGAAGGGAGAGCAGCAGCCTCCAGAGCCTGGGAAACAGTGTCAGGTGAGATCACCTTTCCCCTCACTGGGTCTGCAGGCCCAAGGAAGGGAGTACAGTCACAGATCTGAATGAAAATACAAGCCAGTAATAATACGGTAAGTGGTTAGTAATGCTTGAAACATGACGTCTCTACTGAGAATTTGCCTTGGACAAGTTATCAGAATAGAATATAGAATCGGCTAGAAGATCAAGTGCAAGTCAACTGACTCTTTCGGGGTCACTTAATGGTCCTCTGATGCTTGCTCTGGGAGAGCCAGTCAAAGGGGTGAGGCTCATGGGCTTCTCCTGGCCCCACCCAATGTCGCTGGCTTCAGGCTCCGTCCCTGAGCCCAGCCCAGAGGGAGGCTGTGGTCTCCAAAGGTGCCATCCCCAAGTGGCATTCATGCTGCTGTATAGTTCTGTTCTTTTCTCTTGAATTTGGGCTGACCAGTAAAATGCGATAGAAACAATGCCACGTGGCTTCCAAGGCCAGGTCAAAAGCAGCCTTGCAGTGTCTGTATTGGTCTTCTGACAGCCTCTGGGAGCCCTGGGCTGCTGCCCTGGGGAGACCAGGCGTGGGCACTCTGTTAGGCCCCACGCAGCCCAGCCCGTCTGCCGGCTGATGCCATCAGGTGACTGGGCAGAAGAGTCACCCAGTGCAGCAGCTCCTGAGTGAATTCCTGACCCTAAAAGCATGAGACATGATAACATTTTAAGCTGCTAAGTTTCGGGCCAGCATGCTACACAGCAATAGAAAACAGAGCAGAGGCCCATGACCCTGCCCTCTCTGGAAGATGCTGGGATAAGTGGGCTGGACTCTGAGCCTCGAATTCCGTCCCTGTCAGGTGCCCTGAGCCCCTCCCATGACTAGATTTGAATCCAGAGCACCGTGTCTGCTCCAGCTCACTCCAGCCCAGACGCTGTCCTGGAAGGAGGACCCTGCAGACTGTCTAGGCCTTGCCCAGCCCCCATTGCAGGGCAGGATCTGTAGCCCTTGGCCTTCCGGGTCAAAGTACCT